AACAATGTATGAAAGGAAATCCAAAGTATCTGTAAACTTTCATTAAAATGTCAATTAAAAAATATTAAAAAAACAAAACAAACCAGCCTGATACTGGTACTGACACAGAGGTCAATGAAATAAGAATGAGAGTCAATAAATAAGCCCAAATATATCTCTGGTCAACTGATATTTTACAAGAATGCTAAGTTTATTTAATAGAAAATGATGTCTCACATTAAAAAATTAAAAATGGGTTAAGAATTTAAATGTAAAAATTAAAATAATAGAATTCTTAGAAGAAAATGCAGAGGTAATGCTGACTGTAAGAAATAGAATGCACAGACAACAAAGCTTCTGAACAATCAGGACAAGGGAGGATCAACCTAGGAAGAACTGGCCTACAGACAACATGGCTATGGCAGTTAGCAAACAGGAACAAGATCTAGACAAAACTGTTCAAAAAGGGAGGAAAAGAGGAAGCAAAAGAAGAGGGAGGAGGTAAAAGTCTCTAGGGTCATACATATTAGTGAGTGGATTGGGGGGTATGAAGGAATAGGCAAGGAGATACAATGGAGACCTGATGACATGGAGTGACAATAGGCTAGATCAATAATAATTTTATAAATATAAAACAATGCATATGAATGTATAATATGTAACATAGATAGATGAATGGAAACACAACATAAAAAAAGATGTATGAATCTAGAAAAATTAAACTTTAAAAAAGGAAACTGAACACATAAATATTGACATGCTAGGAATTAAGTGAGCAGAAATGGACTGGTATTGGCCATTTCAAATTAGAAAGTCATGTTGTCTACTATGCCAGTCTAACTGACAAACTGAAGAATGAATGGTGCTGCGTGTTTGTTGTTTTTTTTTTTCTTACAATGGTCAAAAGTGTATTTCATGATGTGTTCTGAAACACAGTGCTGTCAGTGATAAAATAATATCCACATGGATACAATGAAGACCTCTTCATACAATTATTACTCAATATATTCATCAAGCACGAAAACCAAAGATGAAGAAATTAAAGACTTCTATTTATTTTTGTAGTCTAAAATTGGCTGAACATGTAATCAAGATGTATAGTACTAACTGGTGATAAGAAAGCAAAAGTTGTAAATAAAGAAGAATTGGTAATCAGAAAACAAGGTCTTGATGAGGCTGGAGGTCGGTCACATGCTAGAATTTTGTACTATTGTTGTTGTTTACCATTGAGTCGCAACCAACCCACAACTGACCCTCCAGCAAGTATTCCGAGACAGTTAATCACACAGGAGAGGATGTTCATCTTTCTCCTGTGGAGTAGATGGTGGACTGGTGGATTTGAATTGTGTACCTTGGCTTTGGCAGCACAGTTCTTTACCACTAAACCATGAGAGCTCCCCTACTACCAATGATTTATTCATTGTGGAGACTTCTATTTCAAAATACCTGAAAACAGAGTCATGAGCATATATGTACACTTAACTTCCTTGCAGCAATATTCATAATAGCCCAATGCAGGAAATCACTGAAATATCCATCAACTAAAGTATAAACAAAATGTGGTATATAGAAATACAATGAATATTAACCAAAAAGTAGAATGAACAATTAATGTATATCAAAACAGATGAGCCTAAGGACATTATGCTGAGCAAATAAGTCAAACACAGAGGACACGTACAGTATGATTTCAGTTATCCAAGTACGTTGTTACTTCATGACCACAATATATTCTGTCAAATGCCTATTCTGTGATTTGGATATTATATAAATATTTATAAGATTTAATGCAATCTCAATTCAGATCCTGATACCATTCCTTAAGGAGATGGAAAAAGGGCCAACTTTATATAGAAAAGAAAGAGATCCCCAGAAAAGAGCTCTACAGAAGAAAAAAGACAAAGCAGGAGGTCTTAAACTTTCAGATCTCAAAACCTACACAGTTGTACTATTTAAAAGAGTTTGATATTTATCCTTATGGGACTAAGTTCACTCAGCATAATGCTCTCCAGTCCCTCCCAAATTAGGTAATAATTCACAAAGTTATTGCTACTGCATGCTGCATAGTATTCCATTGTGTGAATGCACCATAATTTCTCAATCCATTCATTTATGGTTGAACATTAGGGCTGTTTCCATGTTCTTGCAACGGTGAATACTGCTGCTATGTACATTGGTGTACAAATCTCAGTTTGTGCCTCAGTTCTCATATTCCCAGGGTATATTCCAAGTAGTGGAATAGCTGGGTCAAATGGAATTTCTATGTTCAGCTTTTTGAGGAAAGGCCAAACTGCCTTCCAGAGTGGTTGCAACATTTTACAATCCCACCAACAATGTATAAGAGATACTTGCTTACCACATCCTCTCCAGCATCTATTACTCGCTGCCCTTTTAAACTTTGCCACTCTTACTGGAGTGAGATGGTACCTCGATGCGGTTTTGATTTTCATCTCTCTCTTTTTTTTAATCTCTCTTATTGCCAGTGATTTGGAGCATTTCTTCATGTGTCTGTTTGCCAATCAAGTATATTCCTCTGTGAAAATTCTTTCCATGTCTTTTGCCCATTTCGTAATTGGGTTATCAGTCTTTTTCATGTGGAGGCCCAGGAGTATTCTGCAAACTTTTGTTTTTAGACTCTTGTCTGAGAATGGAATTATCAAATGTTTGTTCCCAGTCTGTAGGTTTTCTTTTCACCCTACTGGAAAAAGTTTTTGATGTGCATAGAGACTTAATCTTTAGAAGGTCCCATGCATCAATTTTATCCTCTTTAGACTGTGCATTTCTGGTTGTATTTGACAGTCTCTTTATACCTTGGATAAGTGTTTCTAGGCTTTATCCCTGTTTGTCTCTTAAGAACGTTATGGTGTTGGGCTTTACTTCCAGGTCTCTGATCCACCTTGAGTTGATTTTTGTGTATGGTGTGAGATGTGGATCCTGTTTCAGCTTTCTGCAGGTAGAAGTCCAGTTTTGCTAGCACCATATGTTGAAGATGTTATCATTTCCCCATTTGATAGCTTTGATTTCCTTGTCGAATATCAGCTGACAATAGTAGAATGAGAATAAGGATCCAGGAGGGGTGGGAGAGGCTGGAAGCAGAGGGATGTGGATGTACAGGTAGAAGGGGGGATTAATGATTGGTTGTACTATTTGATGGAGGGGGTGTGAGGGAAGTGAAAAGAATTTGTTCACATTTGTATTTCAATTTTGTAAATAAAGTAGTAGAGAGAAAAAAAAAAAGAGTTTGATACTGATATTGCAACAGAACACAAACAAATGAACCCAGAAATCAATCAAGAATCAAGAACCCAGAAATCAATCCATCTACTTATGGTCATCTATTTTTGATAAGGACATAAAATCCATTAATGGGGAAATGGCAGCCTCCTTAATGAATGGTACTAGAAAAGTGGTTGTAGAAAACATAAATAAGATCCATATCTCATACTTTATACAAAAACTAGCTCAGGGTGGATCAAGGATGTTGGGATAAAATAAAAAATATGAAGATCATCAGAGAAAAATAGGAACAAATTTAGGAGCCATCTGGTTGCTCAGTGAATGGAGTATTGCACCGTAGTAAACTCAAAGGCAAACAAGCAGACTCTAGTACTATGCAGCAACGAAAACCAACGAAGAACTCGTAAAACAGTACACAACAAGGACTTAGTCTGAGGACATTATGCTGAGTGAAATAAGTCAATCATGAAAGGACAAATACTGTATAAAATCGCTATTCTAAAAACTAGAGAAAAGATTTACATACAGTAATCAGTCAATCCTGGATGATTTCTGGGGGTGGAAGCACTGAAGAAAATTAATAAAGAACAGGTTATTGGAACTGGTGAAGGGGAGGACAATGTGAATAAATGGATGAACAGACATTGTATGCATTGGAATTAATGCAGAGAACAAATTATGATTGATAAAAAAAAAATCACACACATAATATCCTTTGTAAACTTACACAGAAAGTTAAAAAAAAAAATCCCAACAAAACAAACCTGAGGAGCTGATAAGTGGTTTCACTCACAGTCACTGTGGCTTACAATTAATTTATAAATTAGTATTTCAAAATAAAACAAAAATACATCAGGCATTTGACTTAATAAAATAAAGCTGCTAATGATTCACGCAGGTGAATTTTTAATGTTTGCAGTACCAGAACAGCCCACTTCAAGCAGGGCTAATATATTCATGTTGAAATGTTTGAATAGGAGTTTGTATTGGGGAGGAAGACAGACATGCTATACGCAACCAAGAGAAGCATTCAAAAACTCTGAAAACCTGGTAGATAAAGCAAGAGATTAAGGACCAGAGAGAAAACAAACTGATGGCAGGTCTTATCTCTGAAAGAAATAAATTAAACAAGATGAATGTGAGATGTGCATAAAATTTTTTAAATCAGAATGTAAAAATGAATATGAAAAATTGTTGAGACTCAAAGAGAAAAAGACTAAAGTCTGTCCTAAAACAATCATCTCCATCTCTGATAGAACAGAGTGCGCTTCCAACAGCAAGATTTTACTCGCTAAGGTGCATGTTATCATGTGTAAACATGGGAGCACTCACTTACGAAGGAATGACATTAACATCCTGAGGCCTTCTTCATTCTATCCAGGAAGAGTGCTACTGCTGGCCAGGACAAGGATTTGAGCCTCTGAAGTGGTTACACTTCTTGTTGAAAATCCTTAAATGGCATTCTTATTTTAAACATTAATCTCAGAGAGAATTAGTGAATAAGGATGTGCCCTTTCCAGAGAGACACTTCCTTCCTTTGCTATTAACTTTAATCGGTTTCTGAGTCTACAGCACTGAAGGTTCTTAGAACTTACAAAAGACTAACTCTGAAGCCTACTACTAGACCAAGAATCAGCTTCACTTTATAATAATGGAGCATAGCGGGACTTTCTTCTTTCTTAAAAAAAAAACAACAAAAACCAAACCACCCCAAAAACAAAAACCCAAACAATTATCCAACAATCTAAACTCTGTAATTCTTTAAATTTATGAAATATAATCACCCGTCTTCGAAAATGACCAGGGGTAGATTTGGGATCTTGGGAACTGTATGAATAACTCTGAACTCCAGTTGAGAAATCAAATTGGCTCATTTCCTCACTCAGGCTACTCTCTGCCAGATAGGACAAGGAAGACATATAATGAGGACCATCTGAAACAAAGAGAAAAAGGGAACAGAGTTATTCAAACACAATCAATAAGAAACAAGTCTCTCTTTAAACTAAAGAATACTTTTAACATCAATCCCATGATCTTAATCCCATTATCTAGATCAACAAAGCATCAAGGAAACTGGGGAAAGATCTCTCTTTGATTCTGTGATCATTAAGTAGTTATTCTCTACTGTCATGGACAAAGATAGTATGGTAAACTGGATCCAATTTTTGGAGCTTCTATGATTAACAGAGCTCTGGTGGCCTTGTGGCAAGAAACAGTTTTGGAATTCCAAAGGCATGTGGTTCAAATCCACTAGCTGCTCTGCGGAAGAAGGACTGACAATCTCCTCCTGTGCAATTAACTGCCTCTGAAAACCCAGAGGGTCAGCTATGGGTCGGTTCCAACTCTATGGTGCCCAACAACAATGATTAACGGCGCAATAGAGAAACACCCTGGATGAAATGGATTGACAACTAGGGTAAAGAGGGGAGGTGTGTCAGAGATGACGAAATTGGCTCAAATAGAGCAGAGTTCAGAACTAGTGTACAAAGATAGGGTAAGAGTCGAAATAATTTTGACGGCACATAATAAGAACAAATAATAAACAGAATTTAATTTTAAACTGCATTTAAACTTGTGTTAGTATATAATACTTTGTCCATAATATGTAACAAAAATGTGATAAAAATTACTAATAAAAAGAGAACTAATCTAAAATATAGAAAGGATTTTAAGATTGGTCCAAATGTTATCCTCAAATTGAAATACGTGGTTAAAACTCAATGAAGAAAAATAAACAAAAATTTAAAAACACAAATATATGCTGTTGTTAGGGGGCTCTGGTGGCCTAATGGTAAGAAGATGTACTACAATCCCAAAGGCATATGGTTCAAATCTACTAGGTGATCTGTGGGAGAAGGACAGACAATCTCCTCCAATGCAATTTAATGCCTCTGAAAATCCAGGAGTTTCAGCTACGAGTTTACTTTTGATTGCATGACACACAGCATGTTGTCATGTGACCTCAAGTCAAAACCAACTTGTAGTTGACCCTCCTCCTTCTACATATATTGTTGGCATGTACAGTCAAGTTGGAACTGACTCACCTCTGACACTCTAGGGTGTTTTCAGAGGCTCTAAATCACACAGCCCATCTTCCTCCCACAGAGCACCTGGTAGATTCAAACTGTATGTCTTTGGGTTGGCACTGCAACTCCTGACTATTAATCCACCAGTGGTCCTACCACATTTTGTTGTTATCATATGCCATTGAGTCAGAAACAGTTCTTAGCTGACACTCCACTGGGTTTTCAGTGCTTAAAAATTAAATGAGAGGAGACTGCTAATCTTTTCCTACAGAATACCTTGGATTTGAAATTTGAATCACTTGCTTTTGGGTTGATAGCACAATGCCTTACGACTAAGACACCATATACTTATACAAATTTCATGAGCCTTGCAAACATCTGGGATAGAGATTATTCTATAGAAAGGAACAGTAAGCATAAAATCCTTGGGACCAATGTTAGAGAGGATGTGGCAAGACTGCAAGACTTATGCATTGTTGTTGTTATTATTATGTGTCATTGAGTGGCTTGCGATTCATAGCAACCCTATGTGCAATAAACCTGCTCTATCCTGAGCTAGTCTCACCATTTCTGACACCCCTACCCTCATTATTCCAGTTACCCTGTCAATTCATCTCTTGTGTCCCTCCATCCTTCCAATCATGATATCTTTCTCCAAGGATTGGTCCCTCCTGGTCATGTGCCCAAATGAGAGATGAAGCTTCAAAATCGTTGCTTCCAAGGAGCAGCCTGGCTTCACTCTCTCCAGGATAGACCTCTTTGTTCTTTTGTCAGTGCATGGTATGTTCAATACTCTTTTCCAGCACAACTCAAAGGAATCAATTCTTCTTCTGTCATCTGCAGACATTGTCCAGCTTACTAATGCATAGTAAGTAATTGCAAAGATTATGGCCTGAATCAGGCCCACCTTAGTCTCTTGCTGACATCGTTGCTCTTTAGCACTTTGGAGCAATCCCTCACAGATTTCCCTAAAGAAATTTGTCTTTTGATTTTCTGACTGCTAGTGTCAAAAGTAATTCATCACCTTTCTTTGGAATGGGATCAAATATAGATCTCTTCCAGTCTGTTGGCCAAGTGGTTGTTCTACAGATTTCTTGGCACAACTCAGTGAGCACAAGCAGGGCAACATCTGTTATCTGAAATACTTCAATTGGTATACCAACTGGTATTCCTGGGGCCTTATTTTTTGCTATTTCCTTCAAAGCAGCTTGAACTTCTTCCTTCATCACCATAGGCTCTTGCTCATATGTTATTTCAT